AAATCGACCCTGACCCCCCACCTCACCCTGGCATCTTCCCCGCCCAGGACCTGTTCTCGGGGCCCCCCACACGACAATTCCCAGCCTGGAATCGACCCCGACCCCACCAACCCTGCCCCTGCATCTTCCAAGCCGTCTCCTGACTTGGAATCGACCCCGACCCCCCACCATGACACCCACCCTGCCCCAGCACCCCCCCCGCCCTGAGCCTAGCTCCGTTTCCGGGCCCCCCCGCGCCACAATTCCTGGCCCGCCGACCCCGACCCCCCACTGCGCCCCGGCACCCACCCCGCCCTGAACCTCTCTCTGTTCTCAGGCCCCACCACGCGACAATTCCTGGCCTGGAATCGACCCCCGACCGTGCCCCAGCATCTCTCCCGCCCTGAACCTCTGTTGTCAGGGCCGACAATCCCCAGCCTGGAATCCACCCCGACCCCCCACCCTGACACCGGCACCCGCCCCGCCCTGAACCAGTCTTCTTGGAGCCCCACACACGACAATTCCTGGCCTGGAATCGACCCCGATCCCCCACCACGCCCCGGCATCTTCCCCGCCCTGAACCACTCTCTGTTCTTGGGGCCCCCCGACACGACAATTCCCGACCTGGAATCGACCCCGACCCCCCACCGCGCCCCGCCGTCTCCCCCGCCCTGAACCTTTGTTCTTTGGGCCCCCCACACACACACACACACACACACACACACACACACACACACACACACACACACACACACACACACACACACACACACACACACACACAAATTCCTGGCCTGGAATCGATCGCCCTCAACAGCGGAAGATGGAGGTGCATTGCAAAGTGGTCTTCCCAGCCACCGCATCGCGGTTGCTCATGGACAGTTCTGGCGCTGGAAATGCGCGCCGGTGGCCTCGCGCAACAGCGATGGGGGAGGGCGGCTCGCGATGTCGGGAAAAGAATGCAAAGACCGAGTCGCAGCCAATGGAGAGACCGCGCTGAGGCGTCTGCGACCGCGGCTGCTGCCGAAAGCCTGACGGAACGTGCCAGGTGGCCCGATCCTGCCGAAAGGCGGGCTGATGCGACGAGGTTGAGTTCGCGGCTCGGGGGGCGGGCGCAGGATTCGCGCCTCGTGCCGGGGTGGCGGCCTCAGGTTATGGCCCGCGCCCCCCGCGGATTGACTCTGCCCTCCTCGAGTGGCGGCGAGGGGGGGGGGGGGGGGGCGACGGCCTTCCGCCGCCGTTTTCGCGCCCTCAAGCGGAAACCTGCGAGATGGCGTTCAGCTGCGCGCGCCCGTGCGGCCCCCCCTCGCGGGCCCGCCGCGGCCGCCACCACCCCGCCCTGAACCCATGTTCTCGGGGCCCACCACACGAGAATTCCCGGCCTGGAATCGATCCCGACCCCCCACCGCGCCCCTGCACCCCCCCCGCCGTGAAACTCTGTTCTCGCGGCACCCCGCAAGACAATTCCTGGTCTGGAATCGACCCCGACCCGCCACCGCGCCCCAGCATCTTCCCCGCCCTGAACCTTTGTTTTTGGCGCCGCCCATACGACAATTTTTTGGCCTGGAATCGACCCCGACCCCCCAGCGCGCCTCGGCATCGCCCCCACCCTGAACCTCTGTCATGGGGCCCCCACACCTTACAGTTCCAGGCCCAGAATCGACCCCGAGCCCCCACCTCGCCCGGGCCGGCATCTCCCCCGCCCTGAACTTTTTCTCTTGGCCCCCACAACTCCTGGCCTGGAATCGACCCCGATCCCCCGCCGCGCCCCGGCATCTCTCCCGCCCTGAACTTCTGTTCTTGGGGCACACCACACGACAGTTCCTAGTCTGGAATCGACCCCCACCCCCCGCCGCGCCCTGGCAAGTCTTTCCGCCCTGAACCTCTATTCTCGGGGCCCACCACACGAGAATTCCCGGCCTGGAATCGACCCCGACCCCCCACCGTGCCCCGGCATCTTCCCCGCCTTGAACTTCTGTTCTTGGGGCCCCCACACGACAGTTCCCGGCCTAGAACCGACCCCGACCCCCCACCGCGCCCAGACATCTTCTCCGCCTTGAACCTCTCTTCTCGGGCCCCCCCGCACGACAACCCTGGCGCGGAATCGACCCCCCCCCCCCCCCGCCCCCGGCATCTTCCCCGCCCAGAACCTCTGTGCTTGGGGCCCCCCCTGCACGCCAATTCCTGGCCTGGAATCGGCCCCGACCCCCCACAGTGCCCCGGCATCTCCCTCGCCCTGAACCTCTATTCTCAGGGGGCCCCGCGCAACAACTCTCGGCCTGGAATCGACCCCGACACCCCCCCGCGCCCCGCCACCTTCCCCGCCCTGAATCGACCCCGACCCCCACCGCGCCCCGGCATGTCTTTCCGCCCTGAACCTCTGTTCCTGCGGGCCCCCACACGACAATCCCCGCGGCCTGGAATCGACCCCGACCCCCCCACCGCGCCCCACCGCCCCCCCCCCGCCCTGAACATATGTTCTCGGGGCCCCCCACACGACAATTCCCGGCCCGGAATCGACCCCGACCCCCACCGCGCCCCGCCATCTTCCCCGCCCTGAACCCACGTTCTCGGCGCCCCCCACACGAAAATTCCTAGCCTGGAATCGACCCCGACCCCCCGCCGCACCCCGACATCTTCCCCGCCGTGAGCCGTGAATATCTCTTCTTGGCCCCCACAACTCCTGGCCTGGAATCGACCCCGATCCCCCGCCGCGCCCCGGCATCTCTCCCGCCCTGAACTTCTGTTCTTGGGGCACACCACACGACAGTTCCTAGTCTGGAATCGACCCCCACCCCCCGCCGCGCCCTGGCAAGTCTTTCCGCCCTGAACCTCTATTCTCGGGGCCCACCACACGAGAATTCCCGGCCCGGAATCGACCCCGACCCCCCACCGTGCCCCAGCATCTTCCCCGCCTTGAACTTCTGTTCTTGGGGCCCCCACACGACAGTTCCCGGCCTAGAACCGACCCCGACCCCCCACCGCGCCCAGACATCTTCTCCGCCTTGAACCTCTCTTCTCGGGCCCCCCCGCACGACAACCTGGCGCGGAATCGACCCCCCCCCCCCCCAATCTTCCTCTGTGCCCCCCCTAACCGACCCCGACCCCCCACCGCCCCCCGGCATCTTCCCCGCCCAAAACCTCTCTCTGTTCTTGGGCCCCCCCACGCGACAATCCCTGGCCTGGAATCGACCCCGACGCCCCACCGCGCCCCAGCACCTTCCCGGCCCTGGACCTCTGTTCTTGGGGCTCTAGGCCCGGAGAAGCAGTTCCAACGCGCACGCGCAGCGACCAAGCTCCGGCAGAGGCGGCAGCCTTTAGATACTTTCTTCCTCGCCCAACTTCGCATGTAACGAGGAGCTTCTGGTGCGCGTCAAGACTCAACGGTCCAAGAACGCGGAAACAATCCCGGCGCCTGACGTCAAACCAACCACCCGCGCGAGCCACGGTGATCCTCAGCGCAGGAACCCTGAACGGCAATAGCTACGCATAAGCAGACCCACACTTTTCCGTGGACTCTACCAAACCACTCCGTTTTTTTGAATCGAGTCGCCACATCGTTCATTATGTTGGGCTCGTCGGGGCCCGTGGCCAGGTTCTTCTCGCGCGGGGGTGAGACTGCAGCAGTGGTGGAATACCATTTGCAAATATTTCAATAGGCCATCCTCCCGTCACCTTCGAGTACACCTGTGAACTGTTCACGCGGCTCTGTTCCTTCCAAGTTGTAAGTTTAACAAATACCAGACGTCCTCGTCCAACTTGGCATCATCATTCTCCAATGCCTCACATATCCTTTTTCGTCATGTTCTGTCTTCGTGTCCGACGCCTTGGTGCATAGCCGAGGCCAGTCAACCAGAAACCTGCCATAAGAAACCCAGCCCTGAGACTCCAGGACGCCCTTTGATATTCTGTGTGGGAACGTCGCGCTTTCCACTGCAAAACCATCCAAACCCAAGAAACCCAGGGCACCCTGGAGGCAAGCAGGGTGTTTCTTGGCATAGGTCTCCAATGTCTTCGCTCAGCGTTAACCTCCCGTTCATGACATTTATAAGGACGGCCTTGTATTCGCCAATGGCTGGCTTCCACCTCCGGCTGCCCAAGCGTTTCCTGCAAGCCGTTTTGCTTCAGCAGTCTTGGTAACGTGTTCCGGGTTTTTTTCGCTTGTCGTTGGCATTACATGTTCACCTGTTGTTTTCAAGTAATTCAGCAGTTCCTCGCAATACATGCTGCTGAGTCCATTTCCTGTGTTTTTGTTGGTTTCGTGCGTGGTTTTTTCGCCAAATGGTCGAGGATGCTCCTCGAAGGTCCTCGCCGAGAAAAAAATGCACACGTCCGAGCGATGCCAGGTCCTCTACCTCATATGCAGTATTCCGAATGCTTCGTCTATGGCAGCAATCCTGGTGCCCTCCCTGTGTGCAGCCCTGCGCTCGGAAATCCAACCTCATGCTCTCGTGGTCGGCTTTGAGCGCCGTGGACCACCAGGAGCCTCCTCCTCGCAGACGGCATACAACACTTCCGCGACTCGGCTCGTGTCCAGACTGTACGAGGCCTCTCGGGCTTCGGGCTATGGTTCCATCGAAGCTCTGGCCAGCTGCGCCAGGGTCCGCTGATGCCGCCCCGCGGCTGCCGCTGCGGCCGTTGCCCGAAGGGACGGGCTTCGCGGAGTTCACCACGCGCACTGAAATCCGTGGGGCGAACCAGGGGGTCGGCGACCATGCAAATATGGTAGGAGCCCCTCTCCGTGTTGAGCCAAACAAGAGAAGAGCAAACATTGTGTGAACACCCTGAGGTCTGACACTGCTACCCAACTGCTGTATGCTGCACTGCTGCCGGGCACGGGGGCGCAGATCTTGCCCACCCGGTCGGAAAGCTATAGACTAACACCACATTTTCATCATCGTCGTCCTCCTCATCATCCTCCTCTCATCCTTTCCTTTTTCGCTCCCTTGCCCCCTCCTTGTTACTCCTCCGCTCCTCTTCCTCCGACGGGGGGGGTCCGAGGGCGAGGCAGCAGCCGGCGCCTGTCGCCCATCCCGCCCCAGGGCCCATCGTCCTGCGGGGTCGTCGCCCTACTCTTCGTCGCCTAGAGAGGAGGAAGTAACTCAGCAGTGGGAGCCAGGGAGTCTCTACTGCACCGCCGACGATGAATCAGCAACACGCGCCCATCGTTCTGCAGGGCCGTCGCCCTACTCTTCGTCGCTGGGAGAAGAGGAGGGACCTCATCAGTGGGAGCAGGGGGGTCTCTACTGCAAAGCATCTGATGAAGCAGCAACACACACACACACTCACTCCAACCTACAGGGAGGAGCAAGGGGGAAGGGCAAGGAGACGAAAGCGCTATGGGTATGGGCGCGGGCTGTCGGACCCCGAAGGGGGCTCCATTTTCGAGCGGGGACTCCCATCCGACAACAGACACCCATAGCCCCCCCGAAAATCAGCCCAGAGAAACTCTGGAGTCGCACAGGTGTGGGCAGCGCCCGAGCTAAACAGTGCGTGTTCGTTTTCGTTGAGATTTCGTTATCCTTGGTTCTGCCTTTGCTGCGAAACGATGTCAGAACGAAAAGGGTCCACGAAATCGCCAGAACACCGTTTAGCTCAAGCCCTGAATTATGATGGCTTCTCGATAGCCTCGTGGGTCTCTCTTCTTGTACTGTTGTTGGGCGGTCCACGGCAGGGCCATTGGGATCGTCTGAAAACAAAATTTGGAGCCTCTTGATGCGTCGTGGATGCTCTCAAGAACGAAAAAGCAACCTGGTCAAATTCCTTCTGAACCCAAGGATGACCAATGATTTGGACACCTGAGGCCTCCCAGGAACTCTCCTTGACCGGTCTCGGGGCATCTGGGGAGCATCCAGGGCAGTCCAGCCTCGGAACCCTGTTGAGCTGCACCGGTCCACTCGTGCCGCCTTCTGCGCACGACGGGCCGTCTGGGGACGATTTCGGGCCGCGGGGCGGGGGAGGGAGTGTGGCCAGACTCGGAGCACGGGCAGCGGCCCGGGGGCCCACGGGCCTGGCCCCCCGTTCATCAGATGTACCTGTGCGCTGCTCACCGGCAGGCGAAGGCAAGCCCTTGGCGCCCCCCAGACAGTGCAGAAGATTGGCACGGAGACTCGGAGGAAGGTGAAAGCTGAAGATGTTGGGAACCTCGGGATGCCGACCGACCGACAGAAGAGGACGGATACGGGGAGGGGGGATGAAGGGAAGAGGGGGCAGGACAAGCTAGGTGGGCTCGCGCCTCATCTGACATCCGACCCATCCATCCCATCCCGTCCCATGGCGCTAACTTATCACCATCCGCGGACGCGTGTCATAGCCGACCTGCGACTCACACTTTTTTGCGTCGGCAGCTAGGCAGAGTCACTGTGCTGGCGAACGGTCCCGCCTGCGACTCACACAGAAAGACCACTTCGTGAAATTCGCGATCGGAGAAAGGGAAGCTGCGTGCTCAGAAGGAGGAGGAGGAGGAGACGGGTGAGCAGGAGGATGAGCGGGAGGAAAAAGATGAGGAACAGCAGCAGCAGGAACTAAAGCGGAAGGATTGGGAGGGAAAGGAGGACCAGAGAAGGCGGAGGAGGGGAAATGAGGGGTTCGCCGCAGGCAGCTGTAGAAATGTACTGTCTGAAGGCGAGCGCCGACTCAGGTGTTGCCTCCCATATTCCAACACCACCTCGAGCCCAGAGTTCCCAACACCACCCCCTGAACTCTGACTTGTTTTCGCCGCTGACATGACCCCAGAAACTTCTTGGTTGCGCAGATGGACTTGACACTGTTTGTTGCGACTCCTGTCGCTGCCATGTGCCCGATACGCACTGTTATATGGAAGACGCTCTGTAATGCTGCGTTCGTTGTGAACTATGTTTGCCGCCCTGGCGTTCCGTGGCTGATGCTATACGATGTCCCGTTTCGTGTGATTTGTGGCTGCCACCCACTTGCTCGATGTACGATGCGTGATGGTTGGTGCCCTTTGGCGCCGCATGCGTGGTGATTCCTGGTCACCGCCACGGTGCGTGGTGTTATACGGCCGCTGCACTATGGGTCATGTTTGTTTGATGCGATGTTTGGTCGACACCATGGTGCTCGATGGGCAAACCCCCATCGCTGGCGCCATGTGACGCAACGGTTGTTGCAAAGTCTGGTCACCGCCCTGATGCACTGTGTGCAATGCCCTGTGGGGTGGTGCTGTGGAATGCCCCGTGAGTTGCAAATTCTGGTCACGACGACAACGACGACGACATCGACGACGACGACGACGACGTTGATGATGACGACGGCGACGACGTTGACGACCACGATCACGACCACGACGACGACGACGACGACGACGACGACGACAACCACGACAATGACCACGACCACGACGACTACCACCACGACGCCCAGGTGCCACGTGGGTGGGCTGGCGACAGTGCCCCATGTGTCGCGATGTCTGAATGCACAACGCTTACTCCTCTGGTGCTCCATGGCTGGCGTGATGCACTTGAAAACGTCCGATGCCTCGCTGTTGCCATTGTACTCGATGGGTGGTGCTCTACGGCCTGCGACGGAGACTGAAATTTGCTCAAACAACACATTGCGTTCTCGTGAGGCCTAAGACCTGGTGATCTGGGGCCGAAAACAAAGCGCAGCCGCATGACCTGGCCATCGCTCGGACGTCCATTCCCTGTGCGTTCTTCAGTTTCGTGCGTGGTTGTTTCGCCAAATGATCAAGGATGCTCCTCGATGGTCCTCGCCGAAGGAAAAATGCACACGTCCGAGCGATGCCAAGTGACACGCATCAGACTCCAGACTGTCGATCTCGTCGCCACGCCTCCCGAGCGCGGCCTGCACCTGGGGACGTTTTTGCCGCGGGCAGCCCGTTCCTCGCCCCTGCGGCCCGCGGACGCAAAAATGTCGAGCCCTGACGCGCCGAGATCTGGGACCAGGGGCTCGAAACTTGAACCCTTGAAGGGGCCCCAGGACACACAAATAAATACACTCAAATAAAATGATTCCCCACATTTTCCCATATTTTCTGGGTTTTTGTCTTCCCGCCCCATTCCCATATTTTCCCATATTTTCTTGGGGATCGACGATTAATTGTGTCTGTGTTTTTCCCCTCCTGAACCCTGGACGTGCGTTCCGGCCAGGGCTCCGATGACAAGGCCCAGAAGGGGCGAACACAGCCCAGAGACCTCGAGCTGCTCACCTCGGAGGTGAGAGGGGTGCCTGCGCACGTTGCCCCAGACCATGCAGAAGATGTGCACCGTGCAGTCTGGCAGACTGCAGGAGTCTGTGCTCCGCCTGAGGTTGCTGATCTGGCAGGGAACCTCCCAGGCTCGGGCCGGGCGAGAAGCGGGGATAGCAAAGGGGGGGGGGGGAGAATCAGCTCACGCAGCTGATTTTCCCGGAGGCGGCTATGTATCGAGGAATGGGCCCCTCGGCGGGGCCGAAACCAGCTGCATGCAGCAGATTTTCGTACCGCCCCCCCCTTCCCAATCCCCCCCCTTTCGTCCGGCCCGACAAGCACGGGCCCAGACTGGCAGCAGAACCCTCAGCCAACGTCTGCACGGGGCTGGCGGGGCCGCTGCGCACGATAGCAGCCGCCAGCTTCTCCCACTTTCGGGTGAGGCCAGAAGTGGTCCTGGCCCGAGGCGTCCCCAGCTGCTCGCACCCTCTTGGAGCCTCTGGTGCCTTCTGGGCCTTGTGAGGTGACTACCTACCAGACCACCCCCACCCGACCCGAAAGCCCCAATTTGACCCGAATTTCGGGTTGGGGGCGGGGGTACAGGTTCCATGTGGTTTTTCAATGTTCCCCGACCCCCCCCCCACTGGAAATGGAGGGAGAATTGAGGCCTTCGGGTTGGGTTGGGGTCGTCTGGTGGGTCGTGATGAGGGGTGCTCTGGAGGCCACATGGGCCTCCCCAGAAATCCTGGGGACACCTTCGGCCAGGGACACCTTTGGCAACTCTCGCCCGGCCGCCGCCGCGAGGCACGAGGGGGTCTCTGCGGGGGCTCTGCCGGAGCGCGCCCGAGCTGCTGCCAGGGAGGCTTTCGGGGGCTGACCCGTCCCCCTGAGCCACTCGCTCCCCCTGAGCGACTCGCCCCCCCTGGCCGCGCCGCGCGCTCGGGGCGTGGCCCGTCCCCCAGAGCGACTCGCTCCCTCTGCCCCCTCTTTCGGCCGCGTCCTCCGCCTCGTCCCCCCGTTCTGCGAGGCAGGGACTTATCCATGCAAACCGCCTGGGAACCGACGTCCTGGTGGCCCAGCGAGCGGTGGACATGGATATGTTTTGGCCCCCCGGGGCCCGAAGATGTCCATATCCACCGCATGCCGGGGTCCCCGAAAATGAATCTTCCGGGCGGTGGCCGTGTGTATAAAGTCCCGCCTCGGACTTTCTGCATGGTGGCACAGCTCGCTTTAACGTCACCCCCGTTTAGGCCTATCCGCCAGCGCAGACGACCCCTGCCTCGCCGCCGACGCAAAAAGTCTCCTGCCCGCTCTGGGGGCTCCACGGGGCTCCTCGTCGCCGCGGCTGGAGTCCCCCCCTCGAAGGGCTCTGGACGCCCGAAGCCCTGTCATCTGCAGGCTGGGCTGGACAGGGCCGCACCCGCCCGCCCCCTTGACTCGAGGCCTCGGAGGTTAGGCTTAGGTCGGGCATGTCCCCCTACAGGCCGCTTTTGGACGAAAAATAACAAATACTCAAAAAAAAAAAAAAACGAATCTGATCAGAAAATAATCGAAAAATCGTCCCCACATAATCTTTTGACTATTGTTGAATCTTCCTCCTGTAGAGGGACATGCCCGACGTAAGGATAGGCCGAGGAGAGGGCGAAGGCGGCAGCCAGCCGCAGCAGCAGCGGGCTGCTGAGGTGGCCAGTGGGTGGCCTCCGCCAACACCAGTAAGACGAAGCCAGGGCCAGAGCACTTTCGGACGAGAGAAAATCGAGAAATTCTGGGGTCCCGCGGCTCTGGAGGACGTCTCGGGCGCCGCGGCCTTTTCAAAGCGTTCCAAAACGCTCTGCGAGCGTTCCGAAATACGCTCTGGGACGGATTCATCCTTGTCCTTGCCCCGGTCCGACCCCTCCCAAAGGTCCACTGGCACGGGCAGCGAGGACCACGCGGGGTTGTCGGTCGGCGCGTAGTCGTCCGGCTCGCAGCAGATGTTGCCTGCCAGGTAACAGGGGATACGTCAACCCCTATCCCAGGCTTCGTGAGGTTTTCAAATGGACCAACAATTTATGGCCGAACCCTGGGGTACACGATGGGGGGGGTCCATCCTCGAGAAGGGTGCGTCCGAATAGCCCCCCTGGAGTGTATCCCAAGGCGGCCCTCCTTTTCTGAGCGGCTTCAGTTGTCGTCGAAAAGTCAAGAGCTGAGGAAGGAAAAAAAAACCTCAGGTCGGGCATGTCCCCCTACAGGCGGACTTTGGGCGAAAATCAGAAAATAGCCCCCAAAAGAAATAATCAAAATTTGTCAAAACATTGTCGAAGAATCGTCCCTTGACTATTTTGACTATTCGGGAATACTCCTCTTGTATAGGCACACGCCCGAGTTAAAGATAGCCTTCGACAAGGGGGTGCCAGGGGACCATGGGGAGGGGGAGGACACAGAACCAGGCCTCCAGCGTGCTCCGAGGCAGCACGTGGGTGCCTTCGCCGCGGTGGGCCTCTGGGGGGCCTCGCCGGGCCCCGACAGCCTGAAAGGAACGGCGCGAAAGGAGAAGCGGGCCCCTGGAGGAAAGGGTCGGGACTACGGGGGCCCGAGTAGGTGTGTGTGTGTGCGCATGTGTAACTGATATGGGTGGGCACTGATGATATGCGCACATCATGTACAAATCCAAACATACAGACATACATGCATGCATACATGCATGCATACATACATACGTGCACCCATACATACATGCATACATAAATACATGCCTGTCTGCCTGCCTCCTCGTCTGCCTGCATGAATGCATGCAAGCATGAATACGTACGTACATACATACATACAACCAAACATATATACATATATACCTGTCTACCAACTTACCTACATATATACTTACATGTATGCATACATGCATGCATGGATGGATGCATGCATACATACACACATACCCATACACATACACACACACATTCATGTACGCATACACGTACACATACACACATATACACAAACATACATACATACATACTTACATACATACACGCACGCATATATGCATACGCACAAACAGACACATACTTACATACATACATGCACTCACCAAAACAGATACGCACGCCTACCTACCTAGATACATAATCAAGCGGCATGCACGCATACATATATATATGTATGTATATACAAGCATACCTACATACATCCGCGCATTCGTACACACATGCATGCATGCATGCATACATACATACACGCATGCATGCATGCAAACATACATTCCTACATACATGCATAAAGCCAAACATGAATACCGACCGATCTACATACATACACGCATGCATACTGGCATGTATGGATACAGCCATACATACATGTACATACATACATACATACATACATACATGCACGCACGCATGCACACATACACACGTACATACATACAGACATACATACATACATACGCACGCACGCACGCACGTACGCACATACACATGCATACATACACACAAACACACATACATATCGATCGACCTCAACGCATAAACGCATACATGCATGCACACATACACACAAACATACGGACGAAAATAAATACATAATCCCAACCAAGCGACGCATTTCAACCCGCCCGCGGGCGCAACCGCAACCGCAGCTAAGCGACAACAAAACGGCGGCGGGCTCGCCGGCCAAAACCGGTTCAAATGGGCGGCGGCGGAGGGGGGGGGGGCGCTCAGTCTGCACTGCAGTGAGCACCGAAGAAGCCGCAGCGATCCTCTCGCTCTCACGTCTGACTCGCGACCCCACGCTCACTCCGCCGTCGCCAACGGGAGCTCGTCCTCGCTGGCGCCGCGGCGGGAGCGGGCGGCACCAGCAGCAGCAGCAGCGGCCGCGAAAGCCAGCGCGCCAGCGGCCGCGCCCACCAGCGGCACCGGGGAGCTCGCCCTGGAGGAGACGGCCTTGGCGCCGACGGAGAACGCGCGAAGACGGCCCCCACTCGCATCGCCACCCGACTGCTCGGCCAAATCGCCGGTCTCGAAGTCGAAGACGAACTCGGCGAGGTCGTCCACGGAGTCGTCGGGGCACTCGCGTGCATGTACCTTGGCGCCGTCGGCGGCGTCGTCGCCGGACTCGGCGTCGTCGCGGTGGGCCACCAGGCACAGGCCGGCGCCCGCGTTCTTCCACGCGCCATTGCCCAAGAGGTCCCACTTCTGGTTGCCGAAACAGGCTGGAGTTGGACGTGTCGTCGCGGCAGCTTTTCGCTGCGTCGTTGAGGTCCGTGGACGGGTCGCAATCCGCGAACGTGGCCTTGATGTCGATGCACAGCTCCGCGTCGTCCTTGGAGGTGCGGCCCGTAGCCTTGTTCATGGCGCGGCCGCCGATGAGCTCGAAGTTCTGGTTCTCTTCGTTGCGGAACGTCCACATGTGAATGCGGGTGCCCTTCCCCATGGTGGACGGCTCCTGGCGTTCGCAGCCCTTGCGGTCGCAACCCTTCTTCTCGTCGTCGACGGGCGCGGCGTCGTCACACTCTGCGCACATGGCCTTGATGTCTAAGCATTTCTTGGTATACGGGTTCACGCCGTTGTTGGCGGCGGCCAGGCCGAAGAAGGCGACGGCGCCGACGCGCTGCATGGCTCTGCCGCGGCAATCGGAAGTGTCGATGCGTGTCAGACCTGCGGCCGAGATGCTTGAACCAAACCGGCTACGGATAGGCATGGACATATACATATACATACACATACACATATACATATACATATACACATACATATACCTATACATATACCTATACCTGTACCTATACATATACACATACACATACACATACATGTACATATACATATACATATACATGTACATAAACATATACATAAACATATACATATACATATACATATACATATACATATACATATACATATACATATACATATACATAGGCATAAGCATAGACATATGTACATATACATATACATATACATATATATATACAAACATATATGTACATACACATACATATACATATACATATACATATACATAGAATATACATATACATATACGTATACATAAACCTATGCATAAACATATACATATACATATACATATACATACACATACATATATATATACATACAAGTACATATACGTATACATGCACCTACACATACACACACATACACATACACATGTTCATACGCATACGCAAATACATATGCATATACATATACATAGACATCTACATATACCTATACATATACATTACATATACATATACATATACATATACGTATACAAATACAAATATATATATGCATGTATATATATACATATACATATACATGTACATGTACCTATACATGTACATAGATATATATCTATATACACTTATAAATATGCATGTACGTATACATAGACATATACATACACATAGTTTTATATATATATGTATATACATATACATACATATACATAAGTATATACATATAAATATGCATATGCATACGCATATGCATATACAAATACCTATAAATATACATATACGTATACACATACACATACTCATACACATAAACCTACAAATGCATATACATCTACAGATACAATATATATATACATATACATATACATATACATATATGTATATGTATATAGATGCACATGCAAACATCATATAGCTAGTCACATATATATATATATATACGTATGAAACGCTCCGTCGATTTACCGTCAGGCGACGATCCACGTTGGGCCTCAAACCTCCCTGGAATACCGCAGCGCGCCAGTGCTCGATTATTTGCATGACGGCGCGCCTGCAGTTTTTGGTTGCGCCAATGACACATACAGCTGCAGTGTCATCAACCAAGGAACGAATGTCATGCGTCATGCGTCTGTTCACTGCCATCTGGACTGGGGAAGATCAGTTGGTCACGGTGCACTTCGGGGTGCCGAATGAGCTAATCCAATGCCAACCTCGCCTATACGTCTCTCACGATGGAACCTAGCAAAAAAGTGAAGTCACCGGCCGCAAGGAGCCCACATGGTTGGACTCCGCCATTGGCCTCTTGAAACCGCTTACGCCCCAGCAGGACCAAAACCCAGAGAACTGCGACGCCGAAACAAATGTCCTCGCGGACTCGTCAGACGCGAGCTGATGAGAGATGGGAGCGGGGGCGAAGTGTTGCACAGCATGCTGAGGCGCCAGGCGCAGTGGCGGAGCACTCAAGGTCTCTGCAAATTATGCTGCCTCCCCGGACAGAACACACGCTCATCCCTCCTCCTCCTCCTCCTCCTCCTCCTCCTCCTCCTCCTCCTCCTCCTCTTCCTCCGTAGCCATTTTGGCTCAGGCCTGGTGTTCCGCCCGCTTTCGGCGCGCGGGATCTGTGATGGCGCGGGAAAGGCTGACTGGGGTGGCTGCTGCCAGGGCGGCGGCCGACAACATGGTCAGACGGCTGACGCGCGAGCTGGCTGCCGCGCGCCAGACCACCGACAGCTTGAAGGAGCAGATCGTGGGTGCCGCGGATGGCGAGGCAGAGGCCGAGGCTGCCCGCCGTGAGGCCGTCGCACGGCCCGCCCTTATCGCGCGGGTCCGCGGGGGACGCGAGGCCCGGGGGCAGCGAAAGCAGCGCAACGTTGCGTGGCACGCGCAGCGGTGCCGGGAGCGCCGATGAGGGACTGGCGCCGTGCGGAGGGAGGGCCACGCCTGGATGGCCCGCCGCCTGTGGCCGAGGCTGCAGCCAGTGCACGGCGGGCTCGGCCACGTACGCTGCTCAGGGGCGATGCGGAGCCCTTCCTGCCCCAGGGTTACAGCGAGCGGTTCGAGCAGGACCCTACGCTTTATCCCGAGGGTTTCAACCAGATGCTGGGCAGCAGCATCGCCGAGTTCGGCGCCGAGGTGGACGAGACTTTCTACGAGGAGGGCTCCGACGCCGACGGCAACGGCTCGGCCTTCGTGGGGAAAGGCGTCGAGCAGCTTCAGCAGGGCGGCTGCTTCGTCAAGGAGGACGCGGTCGATAACCAGA